TCACGTTTTTATGCAAAAATTATAGATTTTATTAGCACTAACGTTGGAACCACTTTTCAAGGTCCAAAAGCATTAGAAGCCATCATTACCGTCAAGGTCGAAATACTTCAAGACTTTATTTTCTGGAACAGAACAATTACTTCCAGAAGAAACGATTATATTATTGGTTTAGTCGTACTTAAACTGTCGTTATTTTTGTTTTTCTAAAAAAAACAGGTGACTTGCTTTCTGTAAGCTACCTTTACATTTAACACACAAATGTGAGTCACCCCGCCGTTATTTCCGAGAGTTAAGTAGCAGAGGCGACAACAGAGGATAAATAACACTGTGTTCAGGTATGAATCTCTATAAAAAGGTGAAGGATTCAAAATCCTCGTGGGCCCTTCAACTCTTCTCTGCCTGGGTGGTGAAACCCTATATATATAAGGTAGTGGGGTCGAAAGTTCCCCGCCCTCTCCGAGATTATAAGTAAAGTTGTTTATTTCCTAACCGTTTGTCTTTATTTTCGTTTTGGTGTTCAATCCGTTTTGATATTATTTACTCGGAAAAAGACCCATATGTACGCACATTTGTAAATGTCGCGGTGTTCTTGAGTGTATCATCAAATTTTCTCTTCGTATATTCACACCTTTATCCCACATAAAACCTTACTTTGTATTGAAGGCAGCTCCAAATCTATCAGATTTTCACTTTATATCAGATATCACAAAATTTCATGTAGGCCTAGAAAAAAAATCTTTATTTTATATTACATGATGAAAAAATATGAGAAGGCAGGCAGTGTAATTGGATTTTGTATCCTTTACTCTACGAGTACTTTCAACACCCGGGGTTTTGTTTTAGGTCTACAGTGAAATTCAATTGATTTGACACCGAACGTGTCTACTAATTGGTATATTCCAATGTTATTGAAACTTCGCCCAGATCAACATGTGTTGATGATTGCTCATAATCATTAGAATCTAATTTAGAATGCTATCACTCAAACACGTCTTTAACTGTTCCAGTAAACTGTAACTGTCTTTTTTAGGGAAACGTGGGCATTTGTCAAAGACGACAGCCAATGTTCTAGCCGCCATGATGAAATGTTTGACATTGTCTGAATGGAAGCTCATCTATAATTGGCTGAGAGCGTTGACACACCACACCAACTAACGAATCAGAGACGTGGTTTCTTATGACCTTGCACAATATGGTAGCAGATTGGTGCAATAATTTATTGAAACAAATTAATCGAAGGCCGTTTTTCATTAGGATCGGTCGTGTAAGTACAAGACAATTTTTTTCCTAGGCCTTATAACCCACATCTTTGTTCAGCAAAAAAACCCATTTTATTTCACTTTGTTCTCGCGTCCCTACTATATACTAAGTCGTCAGTTTTTACAACTGGACCCGTCGTTTAACATCTGGCTTCAAACAAATTAAATCCACAGTACTTCAGGCAAAGATTTATAAAGTAATATAAGATTCACTTTTACGCATATAAGTCTATATTTTCAATATACTCTTTAAAGATGTAATAAAAACACGTTAGATATAGAAAAAAAATGTGAGTGTTTATTACCAAGTCATCCATTTGCTACGCCGCGAGTTCATTCATAACAAGTTTTGCTCTCTTCTAAATCCCCCCCCCCCCAGTGGCTCAGCAGCTAATCAACAGACTTAAACCTCTAAAAATCGGAATTCGATACCCGTGGTGGGCACAGCATAGATAACTCATTGTGTAGCTTTGCGCTTTACAACAAACAAACTCTCTTCTAGAAATAAAAGAAAAACAATTGTTTCCTAGTGTCTTTCTTTGAAGACTTTTACGGTAATTGTTTTTTGTTGTTACTGCTGTTGTTGTTTTATTCTTACGATAATTTGAAAGTTTGGAAACTTCGTTGCCGCCAAGCACGCTCCGCACTCTTAGCTGTGGAAATAGTTTTAAAGTGACAGTCAATTCCGTTTATAAAGATCCGGATAAAGCTCTCGTGGTAGAAGAGCCTGTCTTTTATGTGGTCAGCAGTTGAAGATTAGGGACAGCTGTGCCTAAATCCTGAAGGTTTCCGGTGCACAAAAAGTGCTGTTAAAGTTCAACAATTCCTTAGTTTTGTTTTTTCTCTGGAAAATTATATAGAAAGCATGATGAGTAGGTGACTTTTCTGGTACAGGAACAGGAGCTGTGGAGACTAGGGGGAACATGCCCCCAATAATTTCTAAACAACAGGCTATGTAAAACATATAATTAAACATTATTATTATTGCTGTGTAAATATTTTAAAGCCAAATAAATATTACAGCATTAATTTGGCGTCATTTTAAAATAATCATATATGTATTCTAAGTAATTTAATTATATATTATAATAATCGCTTAAATGTATTGTTTTTGCCAATATGTAAAGTATAAACTATGTGTCTTATCTTCTTGATTGTATTTAAATATGGTTTTATGAGTGCAGTCAATGATGCTTTGACAACACAACTGAAAAATATTATTAATTAGGAATTTTTCGTGCCCACCCGAATACAAGTACTACTAAGGCCCTGAGAAATTAAAATGCAAAAAAAAAGACTCACGAATATTCATAATCAGCAGATTGTGATATAAAATAAAATAACCATGTTACTGTTGGTCTCTGTTATAAAACTTTTTTTTTTCTTTTTTGTTGAAGTTTATTGGAAGAACCACAAGTGTCAAGTTGTAGCTATGGACAACAGACTTGAGATTAAGCTTAGTCTATAAAGAAGAGACTGTAATATGTGTTAGAATTTTGTATCTAAGATGTTACACTCATATTTTCGGGTTGTAGCACGTCTTGTGAACTTCCATTTGTAACCTTGTACGTTATTAGTTGATAGGAAAAATTTGTCCGTTCCATTATGTACAGAATTGGATGGTCACAGTTCGTGCAAACGGATCAGGAAAAAATGTAAACAATTACAAGCGATTTAGAAGTGTTAAAAAAAAAACGCACAGGTAAACGTAAAGCCAACAGTGAACATCAAGGTCGTCTTGTAGTACAACTGTTAATATTCTATCCAGTAATGTGGACGGCAGAATGTTACCTTATGTAAAACACTGATATGACAGAAGAAAGGCATGTTTAGGTTAAAACATTATGGTTTCAGTCCGATTTAACCTGTTTGTTGTTGGGCAGTTTATTAGGAAATTAATTCATTTGCCCAGACATAAACGATCATTAAATGTGATTTCTTTAGATTTTGCAAGGATCTGATATGAAGTTGAAATATTTAAAGTTACGAGACCCGAGTTAATCGTGTACATAATTTAAAAGTATTTGGATCGAAACCCATTTTATACTATCAAAATAAGCAGTTCGAACAGTGGTCAGATTTAGTATTGTAAAGTGAAGTAACATCATAACCCTAATATATTTAACAATACGAATGACTCGCGGCAGTATTAAAACATAATATTTCTTGATTATTGAACTTAACTACATATAGTTAATTGTAAAAGTTGTATAAAAATATTTAAATTTACTGAATCAGAGATTCTAATGTTAAGGATATTTCCCCGGGCCCACTGGTTGTGGCGGCGTTTGTTTTTCTAATATTTACACACACACACACACAATAAAAGTCGTGTTGTGTATGGGATATCAGTTTACCAGATATTACCTAATTATTGAGAAGTATCAAAACAACAAGAAGAAAATACTCGATAGTTCACCTCTATTAGGTACTAACGATAAAGTTATGGCAATCGGATATTAGGAGTTGTCATGCTTAGTGACCTATATGTCTAATTATTAATTCATTAGCAGTAGAAACGTAACAGAAAAATTTGTTCTGAAAAATTAATCACTAATTAGGAAACTGACTTCGATGACCGTAGATGTTGCTACCCATGACAACGAAGATTATAACATTGTGTTGTACTGTGTAGACGTGGTATGTGAGGTGCTCAAGTAAGGATTGGGCAGGCTGTCTAGCAGGAACAAATCGATATTTACAAGTCATTATTTCTTTTCATTGTGACCAAAGAAGGCCAACGAGTCATTACTCCTGTCTACTGTGACCAAATGAAGGTCAACAGAGATCATTATTTCTGTTCATTATGATAGCGTTAACTTACCTTTAACTATCTTATTTTCTCCGACTATTAATTAATTGATTAATGTTTTGCATGAAACCTATCAGATGTCCCATTAAGACATCCCTTCAGACACTTAGATAACACTTAACATCGTATTTACACCAACACTATAATAGGCAATCAAAAGAATGACATCGTGTGAAATAAGATGACTCCGTAAAGCCGCCAGTAAGAACAGACTAGATAAAGTAAGAAATGAAACAGACCGGTACTGAAACAAATAGAGAAGCAGAGATTGAAAAAAAAATAGCCACTTGGTGCGAATGAGTTCAGGGCAGCTACCAGCAAGAGTATATAATTTACAATTAACAAAATATACAGACGTAAGGAAGCGTTGGATTGATGGTGTCAAAGAAACTTCTAAAAACATGAGACTAGCAACTGCTGAAATGTCACACCTTGTCCTCGATGGACGTTTGTATTCACCACGATGCTGAAAGGCACAAGTGAAGGATAAAAGAAAGAAAGTCCTTGAGTGGGATTTCAGTATATTAAATAGACTATAACCTATACGAGGGAGTCAGTCTGGAACATGTCATATATCTTGTATCAATGTATGATTCACTGTACAAATCAGTTTTTTGTTTACTACTAACCATGCTGAACAGTGTCTTACTGCTTAACACGTGCCTTTAGCAAAGTTATCAATAGAAACAGTTGTTCCAACAGTCTTTTTTTTTGTCGACAACACATCTTATTATGTTATTTTTGTAATATTTAGGTGCACTGTTTGATAGGAAACAACAAATTTCATTCATGTTTAGAGGTAACTTCTTCTGTGGCGACATTTTCAGTATCGTGAACACACCTGCTCAGTTCCCAAGCACGTGACTTAATCAGCCCTCTCGTAGCAGTATGTGTATAAATATTGTATTTGTTCCTACGATTGCCACTACCGAAGCTACTGAGCGTATGTGAAGCACGTTCCGTTGATCGGTGTCCAAGGTATGTTAATCTCCAATGAAATAGTTTATAAATACATTGCAATAGATCTGTATTTGTTGTGTGTAAAACATGACGACAATAGCTACTACTACTAGACCAGTAGTATCTTAACAACCTGACCGTATGCTGGTCTCTTTATTATTCGTTCTGTTGCCCTGTAATTTGGCTTAAGCCCCAGTTCTCTAATTCTAACCCCAGTGCTACCTCTACTATCCGCATATGTCCACTCCTGGCTATGTTTGGATAGTTGACTTCCCTCTTACCCATCATATAATTACTGGGTATGATGAATTTCAATTAGGAATAAACAATTTTACGTAAACAATTATATTTAAAACAACAATAATAGTACTACAGTAACATCTTTGTGTTGGTAGTGAGGAAGGTGTGGCGGGTTGAGGGAGAGTAAGTTAGTGATCGCCCTTTGACCCTAGAACATCTGGGTCTGAGGTGACAGGATGGTCATCAGCACTGACGTCTATGGCTGTAGAATGCTGCACATAATGCATAGGTGTGGGGCGCTACATGTAGTTGGATCACTATAGTTAGAGCTTGGAAATTGAGGGGTGTAACTTATTTATCACACTTGGCACTTGCTTTTTTAAAGTAGTGCACAAAAAAGTGCGGATATGTGAAGTTTACGGTACGTTACATTAGAGATAGTAAAGGTAGCACCGTATTAAATATAATTGAAGAGGTGTGCATTACATTGCTACTCTGAAATATATATATATACACACACGTGAATTTAATTACCCCATTTATCAATCGCTCACTAGATCAAAATTAAGATTTAACAATAACTTTGCATAAAACGAACATAAGAGCAAACTAGAAAAACCAATATTTAAACAGTACAGCGTAGAATTTTATATTAAATTCAATTACCTAAATTGCGAGTGATAGTTCACTAGTGCTTTGTTATTGTTTAATTCTGGTTTCTTTTCAAGAATTAGACGAGTCTCCTTCACACGTAACGTAGCTTTGTTTTGGGCTTTACCAAGTTGTTCAAAGTAGTCGATAAACCCAAAAACGATGCTATGATACGAGTGAAGGAAACACTTATAATCTTCAAAATAAGCCGGAATTAAACAATCAGCAAAGCGATATTAATATACTGAACTTTTGCTCACAGTTTAGTTAATTCAATATTATAGAAACCACATTATTAATGGTAATATTTGGTACAAGATAAATCAAAATTACTTTAGGTGTACACGCTTGCTTCCATTGAGGCAAGTCACTCGAAGCGCATGATTTTGTCAACATTGGAGGGACGAATGGATATTTTAACATTAGAAATTATGTTCACCTCGCTACTTCTCATTTCGAGCACTAATTAATCCTTTCTGTAAACCTCGTCATTGTAATTATTAACTAACCCTTTCTGGAAACCCTTTCATTGTAATCATTAACTAACCCTTTCTGGAAACCCGTTCATTGTAATCATTAACTAACCCTTTCTGGAAACCCGTTTTTTGTAATCACTAGATAACCATTTCTGGAAACCCGTTCATTGTAATCACTAGATAACCCTTTCTGGAAACCCATTCATTCTAATCACTAGATAACCCTTTCTGGAAACCCGTTCTTTGTAATCACTAGATAACCCTTTCTGGAAACCCGTTCTTTGTAATCGCTAGATAACCCTTTCTGGAAAACCGATCATTCTAATAACTAGATAACCCGTTCTTTGTAATCACTAGATAACCCTTTCTGGAAAACCGATCATTCTAATCACTAGATAACCCTTTCTGGAAACCCGTTCTTTGTAATCACTATATAACCCTTTCTGGAAAACCGTTCATTCTAATCACTAACTAATCCTTTCTGGAAAACCGTTCATTCTAATCACTAGATGACCCTTTCTGTAAACTCATTCATTGTAACCACTAGATAACCATATTGGAAACCCGTTCATTGTAATTTGGTTTCAATTGAAATGTTCTGCACCATTTCTTGTATTTTCACCTTTCACTAAAGGTTTAAGTGTTTGAAATACAGGAGATCAGATTTTTCTCTCTTTCTGTGAGTTATTACTGTTAAATATTATTATTTTGCATTAATTTATTATTTTAAAATGTCTCAATTTATAATATATGTATCGTTTGTGCATCTGTTTTTGTTTAATTTTTTTCATGTATGAATTAAAACTTCTGTCCTTCCATCTTTTTCGGTATGCCAATGTTAACATCAAATGACTCGGATTCCAAAAAAAGTTGACGTTTTATCCATCTGCTTCACTTTCCTGACCACGTCAGTTTTGAAAAGTGCCAAGAAAGAAATTGAAGTCTTTATTATTTTCTTGATTTCCCTTACCACATCGGTTCTGTAAAGTGTGGAAAACAGCAAACCGGATATGTTAATTGCTATATGAACATGCTTTTGTGACTATTGTACCAAAGTTATTTCATCTCCAACTAGGTTTTCATTCTGAACGACTTATATAGCACTACCTACCATTAACTTCTGGCCAAACCTAGCTAACTGCATAGATCAAACTAAATATTCACTAATATTAACTTGAACTTTAATTTCTGTCGTTCAGTACAATTTATTTGATTTCACTCTTCGCTAGTCAAGTCTGGATTGCGCAGGTACACTTTGTTAATCAAGCTGAAGATGTCGCCCTCTGGAGATGACAACTGGACCGATATAAACAACATTGTAAATACCACTGTACAACGTGGTGGGGTAAATACACCTTATCATGCACGAGCAGAAACTTATATCGTCCCTTTGGTGTTTGCGGTCATTTTCCTAGTCGGCGTGATCGGTAACAGTACCTTGATCTGGGTTTTTTTACGGAACAAAGTCATGCGCAGTGTACCCAATACCTTCCTGGTTTCTCTGGCAGCTGGAGACTTGACTGTTCTCCTATTTGCTGTTCCATTTATAGGAACCATCTACACTTTTGAGAGCTGGCCGTACGGAGAGTTCGTGTGCAAATTGAGCGAATTTTTGCGTGATCTTTCCGTTGGTGTGACTGTTTTGAGTTTGGCTGCGCTGAGTGTTGATAGATATGTCGCAGTTATCAAACCCCTCCACAAACAACGAGACGAGCGTCAGAAAATAATGTCCATCACTGTTGTAGTGGTCATCTGGGTAATCTCGATTGGACTGGCTATCCCAAGTGCTTATTTTTCGTTTATCTATGAAATGTTGGCCGGTGGAGAGGTCATCAAGATCTGCTACCCTTTTCCTCCGGAACTAGGCCACTGGTATCCTCGAGCCACAGTGTTAGTCAAATTTCTAGTGTTGTACGTGATCCCCCTGGTGGTGATTAGTGTTTTTTACACACTAATGGCTCAGCACCTTCTTCTGAGCACCAGACAAAATGTAATTAAGAATGCCAGCCACACTCGACAGCTGGAGGCGCGCCACAAGGTGGCGTGGACTGTCTTATCCCTGGCAGTAATCTTCTGCATTTGTTTTTTTCCGAGCCATCTCTTTATGTTATGGTTTTATTTCTATTCGGACTCTTGGAACGCCTATAACGACTTCTGGCATGCTTGGAAGATTGTTGGCTACGTTCTGACTTTCGCCAATAGTTGCCTCAACCCTGTCGCCCTCTACTGTGTCAGCAGCGTTTTCCGTAACTACTTCCAACGCTACCTTTTCTGCTGTTGCCATAGTGTCGTCCATCGTCAACGCACACTCACTAATCGCACTACATATACATCTCTTAGAAGCACTATAAAAAACAGTGCTACAACAAAGGTGTAGTGAAAAATATCTGAATAAAGGATTTCAAATTTTATAATTCTATTATTTACTTGTCTCAAAATACAATGGTATTATTATGTGTAAAACAGTATGGTACCATGACTATGGTGTAAAATGTGTTAACCAATATGGTACCATTACTATGTTATAAATTTGTAAAACAACATAGTACCATGACTATGGTGTAACACGTGTGAAAAGTAGTATTGTACTTTATCAAAGTGTAAAATAATAGAGTATCATTATTAAGATTACATGGTTGCGTGTACATTAACCAGAAAGTTGGTATGTCTCTTCTGAGAGATCTTACATTTTATTATGAACTTTGATATATATATGTTATGTATAGATGAAGTATAAGAATATGTTATTTTGTTACAAACATTAAAACTGGACATCAAAACTGGTGTTCAGAGGTTCACGGTCTGCAAGTTCATCTGGCTCTCAAGACTGGTGTAAAATAGACTATATATATCACAGAAGTTTTGTTATAGAATAATTCTGTTATGAAAGTATAATCAATCATTAATTAAATGGGATTTTTGTTAGACTAAGATTGTTTTTTGAATATGATTTTCTATACAGTACTATAACAAATATTCAAGGAATTTGATTTATAAGAATGTGTTTTATATTTCACATCATAATACGTTGTTAAAATTAGTTAAGGAATTATAATAATTTCAGTATTTGCTTGGATGGCTCTAAAAAAGCCAATATCTTCTGGTCTAAATGTTCATTGTAATGGTCTTGTATATTGGAATAAACTGTTACTACTATTGTAACTTTGATAAATAAACATTTTACATTTATTTACAATTGGACTACTCCAAACGTAAACAGTAACATGTATTGTGGTAATATATCCCAGATGCCACACTTCATTAATTAAAGTTACACTGTTTAACGTGTTTTTAGTGGTTCTTAGGAAGGATTGTGTAAAGTTTTGCTTATAAGCAGTTATACCAATGTTGTGTTTTTAATAACCATGACATCGGTGACTATACTTGAAGCCAACAGCTATTTTGTTAGTTTAAAATATGTATTTAGGACTAAACTAAATCTCCTAAGCTGGCCGAACCTCGTGAGATATCATTGGGATTATGGTCAAAAATATTGTTAACAGCGAGGGTACCCAACTGATAAAACAATGCGTTCTAATCTTTATAAATAAGAAGGTAAGAAAAGTATATTTAATTGACTATACTCATTACGAGGTTGCATTTCAGATTCATTCAAAGTAGGTAGTTTGTGATCGAAAGTTAATATTAAAGAACTAATCACAACGAGTTATAAATGTAATGGTCTTATTAGCTTAAAAAATAAACACATTTACCTACAGTAACACTAGTTACAACTTGTTCTAAATGTAATTGTAGTGCTTAACTCGGTAAATAAACACATCTACGTTGACACTGGTTTTTGGAAACATTAAAGGTAATTGTAACTTTTTAATTCATTGCTGTCATTAACATGTGTGAACATATTTTGTAAATATAATTTTATTTCTATACAGAAGTTGAGTACATTACATTAACATAATTTTGACTCTCACCACATCATCACCTCCGACTATGTTCTATCTGATGACTGTGCATCTCGACAATAGCTCTGCAGCGTAGTTTCCATTGCAATAGTCTCAATCATGAAACATGGACCTTGACACAAGCATTGATTAACAAATTGGAAGCATTTGAGATGTGAGTGTACAGAAAGATGATGAAAATATCCTGATAGACAAGGTAACGAATGA